ATATATATTTTTTTTTTAAGAGCATAACTGAGGTGATTTGCTTATGAGGGTGAGAAAGAGAGAGGTAAAAGATGAGCCCGAGGATGGGCAGATTAACTGGTATGGGCAAGGCAAGGAGCAAGTTTGAGGAGTAAACATGTAAGTTGGGTTCTGTCCATCTGGAATTTGGGATGCCTGTGAGACATATAAATGGACAAATTGCTTGGAACTGAAGGAAGAGGTCTATGCAGCATATTAGCAAATGGTGATATTTACAGCTATGAAGCTAGATGCAATTCCCAAGGGTACGAATGTAGACAAAGGTGAGAGGACCAAGGACTGAGCCCTAATACCCTCCCACATTTAAGGGTCAGCTAATTGAGGATGAACTAAAAGAGGGACGGGGGGCTAGCAGGTGGTGTGATGGTTGGGGCACTAGATGCCACAAGATTGACTGCAGGGTTTGAGTCCCAAAACTAACAGTTTGAAAACACTCCAGGCACATGTATATGCATGCCCAAAATCTCAAGAGGAGAAGGAATTGCAGTGTGGCCATACCCTAGCTGGGATGCCTTCTCACATTCCCCCTCTGTCTCTCTCTGGTATCTGGTGAGCACACACACCTGTGGCAAAAAAAATAAAATTAAAAAAAAAGAAAGACAGAGAAGGAACAGTCAGAAAGATAGGAAGAAAATCAGGATGATGTGGTGTCCTGAAAGCCAAGGTAAGGTGTTTCCAGGAAGAGAGAGTAATCGGTTGGGTCAGGGTCAAGTTGGGGTGAGGACTGAGACCTGCACAATGATTTAACAATGCAGATGTCATCAATGACTTTGACAGCTTTGGAGGAAGGGCAGGGGCAGAAACCCAAATGCAGTAAGGTCAAGAGAGAATGGGAGGACAAGAAGTGAAGTGCACACAAGTGCTCACAACACTGTTGTGGCATTTTGTTGTGAAAGGAAGGAAAACAGTGGAGCAGCAGTTGAAGGGAGAAGAGGGGTCAAGACGTGAGGGAACGAGGCGCCTGTTTGGGAGCTGAAGGAAATGATCTGGCCTTTAGGAAGGAAGAGGGGGGAGTCAGGAGAAGTTCCCTTCTGATGATTTTTTTTTTAATTCCATTTGTCATTGTTATTTTTAATTTGACCAGAGAGAGAGAGAAAAACAGAAAGTGAGAAAGCAAGCCACCAGGTCTGGGACTCAAACCATGGTCAGCCAGGTGGGAATCCAGCACCCTTAACCACCACACCACCTACTGGCCCTGATGACTTTTTTTAAAAGAATTATTTTATTTTTATTTAACTTTATTTATTTATTTTAATTTGACCAGAGAAAGCAAGCCGCCAGGTACGGGACTCAAGGCCATGTGGGAGTCCAGTACCCTTAACCACCATGCCACCTAATGACCCCACCTTCTGATGACTTTTTTTTTTTTTTTTTTTTTTTTTTTTTTTTTTTTTTGGGGGGGTAACCCCC